AGGCGGTGGGTGCTATTGATAAACTGCCTTCCTTCTAGTCTACGAGCTCAAAATTAGGACGGTTAGCGTGATCAGCCCTTCTGTAGTTTTGAACAAATATCCGAAACAAACAAACAGACATTCTTCATCGTACTTGACTTTCGCAATTTTTGGAAAAAAAAACAACCAAAAACACATTTAATATTAACCTAAAACTTTAAATAAATTGAAAGTTTTAAAAATTGATATAAAATAAGCATATGGTTATCTCGTTAGTTGGGATTTTAAATTTCAAGTGTGCAATATTTTCTCTGCAAAACGACTAACCAGGAGCACGCGCAGTTCTTCCTGTCCTCCTGTTTGTTCTGAACAAATTCTTGTTTCAACTCTTCATCGATTGACTTTCCTGGTTTAATGAACTCGCCAGCTAAAAATGTGCTCAGAGCAGTTTTTGAATATCGTGTATAAACGTAATTCTGTCTGGTCGTTATTGGACGAGGTCTTGTACACAGTTTCAATACTGAGTACCAACGTAATTTAATTTAACCCCTACGATTAATAAATCCACTGCATGATATATAGCTGTTCCATTAGGGAACTCGAATGAAGGGGATTAACTATTGGGGTCAAAGCACAAAATCTGTAGACGGTTGTCAACGCTACGTGGGGAAGAGGGGCATACCGCGTGAGCATGTGTATCTCCTGTATGATTAGAATTTCGAAATTCGCCGAGGCCTGCGCTTGGAGATGAAATCTTGGCAGTAGGAAGTTTTCGACTGACTTGATCGAACCATAACAAATAGAGCCTGCAGCGGAACTGTGGGCATTTCCACAGATAAGGTAGGCTTAGTTTTGTCAGAATTAAAATAATATTCTTTATTTTATCTCGAGCTCTGAATTCACGGGATGCACGTTATTAACAAGTAACACGTTCGCCATTTAAAAGAATTTAACCAGACGGGGGTAATGATACGTGTTGAAATATAAAAGCTTGGTTAATGTTATACCAGGTTGTTATGTTAAAAAAATGTGGAATGTTACAAGAAATATGAACATTTTTGTTATTATAAAGTATTAAGAAGATAGCTAAAAAGGACTTGACGTAGGGTTAAAGAAATACAACAGAGAAATAGGGAAGTAGTTTTACAATAAAGTTACTGAAGTGTGTAAATACGAAAGTAGTTTTGTAGTAAAGTTACTGAAGTGTGTAAATACGAAAGTAGTTTTGTAGTAAAGTTACTGAAGTGTGTAAATACGAAAGTAGTTTTGGTAGTAAAGTTACTAAATTGTACAAAATAAGAACGTAGTTTTATCTGTGGTCAGTGTAAAATGGACCATTTTGTGTTCCTAACAGTGGACTGTGGTCACACTGGAATTAACCAGTTTCTGTGCCGTACTTTGCAGTGAGTTGTGGTCAGTGTAGAATGGACCATTTTGTTTTCCTAACAGTGGTCAGGTGAACGTGTTGTAAGGACAATAACAAAGGGTTGCAGGATTTTCAGAACATTGTTTACAACACTGTTCGGTACTGGGAACGAGAGTAAGCAACTGTAGAACACGAACTTCAGGGCGTATAGTAGAGCGATGTTAGAGTATTTATTTTTAGCGACGTCAGAGTATTTATTTTTAGTGATGTTTACAGCGTAATGTAGAGCCATGTGTTAAGATTACGTAGTAAATAAGTAATAAGGCATGTAACAACGAAATTCTTATTAATCTTGAGGTTAAGCCCCCTAGTGGCATGTCTGTAGGTTAAGCCCCCTAGTGGCATGTCTGTATAATTTTCCGTACTTTGGTTATTTGACTTGAAAGAACAATATACAATAGAATAACGATTATAACGGAAATAACTTAAGTATATTTATTACCCAGCTTCAATGGAAACCCTCCCCTCCCTTTTCCCAACAATCACGCAGACTAAATGTTACACATCACCAATCACTAATCTAGGGGGCATTAGGTTATTGACAATGCTTTCTTGTGTTGGTGATGCGTGGGACTTTTTTTTTTCTCTGTGTACATTACTTTAGAACAGAAGTCTGTTTGTTTTGGATATTCGCGCAATGCTACACAAGGACGATTTGCGTTATCCGTCCTTTAGCTTTGAGTTTGTGGACAAAGGCAGCTAGCTGGTCAACAGATCACGAGGTCAACTTAGGGCTTGCCAAACCCTGGTATGTTATAATGCTAAATGCGATTTTGCGGCAGTGAGAAGCGAACCATGGATTCTTAGATTAACAGTCTGGCATGCTAACAATTAAGCCACGCCTCGCACATCTACGAATACAGACCTGGATATTTGTTTTTTAATTAAGCGTGTCGTACTCTTTTGAAGTTGCTTAAATCCACGTTTTAAATATATTTTGAAAAAAGTATTCGTACAATCCCCGGGCAGGTGTAATACTTGCAAGCGACGTCTGGGCCATGACTGAAAAAAGAGAAAAAAAAAAACGCACGTCAGGTGGAATTTTTTTTTTAACTCTGTTGAACCTGGTGGGGGGGGGGGGATGGAGAGTTGTGATTGGACGAAGTAGTTGCCTGGAGCGATGCAGATTCGGTGGGATGTATGCCATCACGTATGAAGTTGACACGACGATTGTGCCGGTAGATGTGGGTTTAGTACGAGCACGAACGTCGAAGTAACGCGTTTTTCAAGTGTTTGAGCACGAGTTATTTGTTGATATTGCTGGACTAAGAACGTAATGTAAGTAACATAATCTATTTTCCATGTATAGTATGACGTTATTAATATTAGCTTCGGTTGTGCTGAGACTCAACTTCGCCTCGGGGTTGTACTGTAGATTATCAATGAAAAGTCCACTAAATCGTGACTTGCTGGCTTAGTTAAGAGTTAGGCCTATGGTGGGTAAGGCAGGGAATCGAGGACACGGCGAACTTTTGTAAATATACACACACACTATATATAAGCTCTACCCTAACGTATGTTGAACTGTGGTCAGTATCGAACTATTTCGTTTTACTAACAGTGGACTGTGGTCAGTGTAGAACGCACTATTATTTGTACTTCTACTGTAGTCACCCAGCTCCTGCTGTTATTTAGTGAACTCTGACCCCCGGTGAATGAGGTTACTTCCAGTCTCGAGTCTGCCACCTGATTGGCGAATGCAGGCACGTGGTATTGTTGTTCCTATATGATTTTGAAACATTGTTTCGATATGCGAGAAGCACGAAACAGATGTTTAATCCCTTTCTGATCAGGTTATGTACAGGGGGAGAACGCTCCGAACATCTGGCAGAAACGTGGCGTACGTTTTTTTTCTTGTTTTTTTTTTTTCACACTTCATTAACGACTGTTGATAATTATTAGCTTGTTGAAATATTAAATCAAAATAGAGGTACAGAAACGGTTATTTTCACACCATTGATCTAGAAGAGAAAATAAAATTAGGCTTAGCGACACTGGATTTTGACGCGTTTTTTTTTTTAATATTTTTAACACTTTTAAGATATTTTTGTTTATATACGTTTAATATTTCTAAAGGGTTTTCTATATCTGTGCCATACTTACGAGTCCACCTTCTCACCCTGTTAACTTTTGACGAAATAAAACATCGGATATTTCTCATATTAATGAAGTTCGTTGTCCTTAACCTGCCCGACTGCTCAGCAGTAGCTTATAACGTGAAAAATTAGATGCTCGACCCCTGCGGTGTGCACAGCCAGTCAGATCGCCCGATGTGCAGCGTTGTTCTTGAACATCCCAGGACTAAACCAAATATTTGTGTGTGTGTGTTTAATATAATCAGATTATCTTGTTCAGACAAACAATAATACATATTCTGGCGTTAGCCCTTTTTTTTGTAGGCAGGCGAAGAATGATGATAATCAGTAATCAGTTGTATTTGTACTAACACATTAGTATTTGGTTTACACTACTCTTTCTGTTTGGTCCCTTAGAGTTTTTCCGAGAAGAAAGAGGGGGGAGGGGGTCCGTTTGGCACAATAGATCGTTTTGAAAATAATACCAGTAGTAAAATAAAATAATTAATAATAAAGATCATATGATATTTATTCAGCGAATTCTACTGTATTAAACAATATATGTATATATTTTAAATAAGTCTTCATCTTTATTTCTATTTCCCCATATAAATTCACAAAGATAAGAGTCAAACATTTGGCGATGAGTTAACCCTTATTACTACTGGTTTGGGCACCAAACGGAAGAGATCCGAAGGATGTATCATAACATTTCAGTTAACCCGTTTTTTTTACAATGACGAAAACTCGTTTCGCTCAATATTGTTCAAACGATATTTGTATAAACCATTTGCAAGAATAACAGTTGTTCTGGTGTGAAAAACCCTTTTTTTTTAAGCTGGCGAAAAATAACGGTTGTTCTGGTGTGAAAAACCTTTTTTTTTAAGCTGGTGAAAAATAACAGTTGTTCTGGTGTGAAAAACTTTTTTTTTAAGCTGGCGAAAAATAACAGTTGTTCTGGTGTGAAAAACCTTTTTTTTTAAGCTGGCGAAAAATAACAGTTGTTCTGGTGTGAAAACCCTTTTTTTTCTAAGGTGGCGAAAAATAACAGTTGTTCTGGTGTGAAAACCCTTTTTTTTTCTAAGGTGGCGAAAAATAACAGTTGTTCTGGTGTGAAAACCCTTTTTTTCTAAGTTGGCGAAAAATAAC